TTACCAATGAATAGTGGGATTGGCGATCACATTATAATGCCCCCACAGCTGAAAGGGAGAGCATGTTTGGTGGGATGGGGATTCAAACCCCTCGATCCAAAAATTGTGAATCGAGCTCCCTAACAACCTGGCCAGCCCCGCAGACCACAGATAGCCCATTGTGTAGCTTTGTGCTTAATTTCAAACAAATAAACAAACAAACCACCTGGCCATGCTTTACATCAGAAAAATCACTTAGTAGCTCAGAGTTCAAGGGTCACAACATCATTTCAGTAAATGATTTTTCAACCATATGATCATCTTAACTTATATAGTAAATCAGTCAGTTGTCATCCAATACCTTGCAAGTATCTTCTGTAATGAAATTCCTCAATATATTAGAAAGCAAGGATTGCTAAGCCCTCTTAATCTTATGATCACCAAATGTAAATCGGAAAATGTATTGCATAAATTGTACTTTGACCATCTCTTGTAAAGTAAGGATCACAACTTCCTTTTACCTAGTGAACTTACAATCAGTGTCTTTTCTATCTCATGAAGTAATCAATACTAGTTTCACCCATATCAAATGGAAGGCCATCAGAAGTGGCTTAGTCGACGTGAAAGCTATATTTTGCCTCTAACTCTTGTGTTTCCTCATCTGGATCATCATGGAAAGTCAGATAGCTACTTTCATTTCTTTTCTCCTAATTGAATGAGTCAACTTGACTTGAGATGGCATCCTTTTTCCTTCAGTCTCATTTATCTAAACTTCAGGCTCCTGGTCAAGCCAGTGCACAGGAAATTCATATGCAATGTAAGGATGCACTTCATTGATATGATCCACATGTTTTTGGTCGATCATCTGAGGTAGCAGAGTAGCGGATTGTTCTTGACAGTTCATCCAGGTGGTCTGTTTGACCACATGTTTCTTTGTGATATACACTTAGCATATAGCCTATTGTAATTGTTTATCAAATTCAATTAATAGTGTTTTTGCGTGTGATAGGCTGATGAGTTGGTTATTTTTTCATATTACTATAAAAGCTTTTGTCAGACGTCGGACAATCAATCAACACACGACTAGTTGAGTTTGCAATGTTTAATTTAGGGAACTTTTTTCTAAAAAAAGTAATTTTTTGCTTTTTACTGGATGATTCAGCACAAACAAAAGCCCTATCTGACAGCATAGTTAACTGACCCAGATTTTTGTCAACAAGATACTTTGAAAAACAAATCCCTATGAGAAACTTTAGGGATGATAGACTAATTAAAGCTCATTTCACTAAAGCCCCCTAACCAATAGACATTTTTTTATGGTGTGGTGCTGCATTTGAGTATCCATACTTTCAGAAATAGGTTTTGCTGAAAATTACCAAATATCATGAAACGGAAACACAATTTTCCTAGAGAGAATATTAACACCAGCCACACGACCCAGCCCGGCATCTTGATGTAGATAAAATAAATTAGTCATTCCAGAAAATTTTGGGTTGTTTTGATTAGGCAAAAAGATGTTTGACACTATTTTTTTTAGGTCGTTGGACCAGACCTATGACTGTACCTGTGACCTGACCCTAAACCATGAGAGCCAACATAGAGAAGTGGACTTGTAAATGTAAAGTAAAATGGAGTAGCAGTGAAATATGCTTGAAACGTTCTAGATGTGGTTGTGAATGTGATGGCTTAAGTGTAGTGATTAAGCTAAACAGTGGGCCCACGTTGGACGAGAAAATAACTTATTTGAAGATATTCCAATTGATTTGACATAATAGCTGAATCACTGATTCATCAATTGTTTACTGCATTGTCAATGAATCACAAAAAAAACTGGCACAATGGTATCACTATCTTCAAAAATGGGGGTTCGAATCATATGTAAAAAAATCATTAGTTTCAATATTTTGTTAAACTAACGTCACAGTAAAACCCAAAGATGTAGTGTTAAAATCGAAGCAGATGCACAATGTATGATCCATTACAAAATGACTTCCCTAGCGATTCACAAATTACAAATGCCATTTCTGCAATGAAGAGTAAATATAGAAGGATGGTATAATGCTCAGTATATTACCACCATAGTATAATCTATATGTATTTCATCATGTGATATTTTCATTAAAATTTAGCTTTTTCGTTATATAAGTTGTGCCGAGCTTCATGAGGGCTTAATCCCCCCCAAGCCTTATGCCACAGCTGTTCCTGTGGTTTGGAGAGATTCTCTTTTGCCCCTGCACTGATTGGTGGAATTCATCCACCAGTGTCACATCTAGTCCTTCTTGGCTAGTCTTTACCAGTTACCAGTTGGGTTACTCTGGTTGATGACAGCTTGGAAGTACTGTTGAAACAATCACATCCAGTTTCAAACTCACCACATGCCAATCCACTGCTGTGACCCTCAGTCATCCATGCTTCCCTTGCACTAAGTTTGACTGAGTCTGTGGTTGTAGATTTATCAAAGTAATGGGTCTTTGCACCATCCATTTATATTCAGTGGCTAGTTTTCCTTGGTCATGTGTATTAAGTCGTCAAAAAATTAATGTCGCTTTTTTTAGATGAAAAAAACCCGAACAACGTATATATATCAAAACAAAACATTTATTAAATAAAATAGTCTCCAGTCTTATCGATGATGCTTTTTCCATCTGACAATCAGGTTGTTAATGTCCTGATTATTGAAATCACTTGGCTTTGAATAAAAAAAAACATGTCGATGTCCTTTTTAACACCTTCCACATTTGCATGCATTTTTCCATTAAGATGGTGTTGCAGCGAACAAAAAAGGTGGTAATCTGATGGTGCCATATCTGGAGAATATGGTGGGTGGGGTGAACTTCCCATCCCAACTGCATAATCTTGTGTTGCGTCAAACGTGCCACATGTGGACGTGCATTGTCGAGGAGAAGAATTCTCTAGATTCGTGAATTGCTTAGATTGGCTTTCTTCTCTCGAGATGTATTCCCGCTAATTAGTTCATCTAGATCCAGTACACGAGTGTTTAAGTCTAACATTGCTTACTTATTACAAGAAATGTTGTATTAACCTGTGGTGACTGGTGCTTATCACATGACTGATTAATCATATTCAACTTATTCAAACACAGGGGAAGACTGTAACTTTGAGATATCATCTGGGCTACCACTGAAGGACTGAAGGGCACTGGCTATTGACATTCTTGAACAACTGTAGCATTACAGCCATGGCCCATGAGCGGAAGTTGGAGTACATATGCCATCTCTATAGAATGGCAAAGTAACTAAGACATTTAGTGAATTTGATATCGCGTATATGCAGCTACTCGATAGATTAGTCGTGAAACTATAAAACTAAGTTTATTTTTACGTTAGTTGTAGTACCATTAACAAGTTATTTCAGTTTGAGTGTGCTTTATAAACTTAGGCTTAAATGTTAAACCAGTGTACATCAGCATGTAGAAACATTAAAGAAGAAATAAACTAATTTGTTGTCATTTTGTGGGCTGGACTTTGAATTAACTTCGCCAAATATTTAAAAGAATCCGTCCAACGAAAGAACACATTACAACAGTTTTAAATTAATATAAAATCATATTTTCCATTTTTAAGAGGATGTTATATTTTTTCTTGTTGGATGGCCATGGTGATGCTGAGCATGCGTTTTGCAAATAATTAAGTTCTATGCTCTCGAGTCTCTTTGTGCGTACTCAAGTTACTGCAACCGGCTCATTGGATTTGAGAAACCAATTAGTATTACGTTTCGTAATTCGTTCGGAAAGAATTATTTTTTTCCCTTCATTCCAGTTGAGGTAAACGATAATTCTTTATTTATTTTCAACATTTAACCTAAGCTAGCTAAAAACAAAATTTACTTCAATACAAACAGTGTATCGTGAGGAATTTGTGTACTTTGTAGCCTGTACTGTTGTGTAGCGTAGGCTTTAAGTCTTAGCTTCAGTTTAGTCAAATTAGTGTTGACTATGGTTTTTAGTTTAAGCCTAACCTGAATGGAAATACCTTACTCATTCACAAGTTACACTTACAGTGACGTAAGTTACGTCTATCAATAATTCTATAACAACGGTTTTATACCAATTAATAGTGCAAGTTTTATATGGAGTTATATGAACGCCTTATGCATGTTATGCTACAGCATAAGATTAAAAAGAAGATTAAAAATCACGCCTGTGTAATTTGTAAATAATTGTATATATATATAAAATTTACAATTCAACTGACGCCAGTAATCCACATTGGTTTGAGGATTAATTAAACCTTGTTTGAGTTTGATTGAGCTGACATTGACAGAAAGGTGGCAATGAAACTGAAAGCCACTGACTAAGTGACTTACTTAAGTTACTATTTCAACTGACAAGTAAGCATGAAATGTTTTTATATAAAGAGCAATATCAGTACTTGTGTAGATTTACTTCCAGGAACTAAGCTTAAATCTAAATTTTGTTGTTGTAGATGAATTGAGTGATAGCGTGTATTGTAATAAATGTAGGTCATTAGCTGTGGTAAAAATGCTTGTGTGGTGTATGTATTATTACTACTTTTGCAAATCACTGACTTATTTGGGGCAT